CTGAGTGCTATTTGTGGGGCAGAGAGCCTGATCCATAGACCACTGAAGTCAGCGGGAGAATTTCCATTGCCTTCCGTGGGTCATGGATCAAGCTGCGAGTGCCCCGAACTCACTTTGATTTCAGCTGAGCACCTTGCAGGACTGGGTCTGTCGTCACTGCAGCTCTGAAGTCCCTAGCACACTGTACACCCAGAGTAATTTGGGGGAGATTTTGAGATGTTACAGTGATTGTAACATGACTGTGCCCCAGGAAACCAGCCAGGTTCATTTCCCTTTCATATAAGGAGCTTTCATGATACCTTTATGCACTGAGGAGTTGTCAAGGTTCCTTCCCCACTCTGAACTCTTAGGTACAGATGTGGGAACCTGCATGAAAGACCCCCTAAGCTTATTCTTACCAGCTTAGGTTAAAAACTTCCCCAAGGTACAAACTTTGCCTTGTCCTTGAACCGTATGCTGCCACCACCAAGCATTTTAAACAAAGAACAGAGAAAGAACCCACTTGGAGACATCTTCCCCCAAAATATCCCCCCAAGCCCTACATCCCCTTTCCTGGGGAAGGCTTGATAAGAATCCTCACCAATTTGTAAAGGTGAACACAGACCCAAACCCTTGGATCTTAAGAACTATGAAAAATCAATCAAGTTCTTAAAAGAAGGATTTTAATTAAAGAAAAGGTAAAAGAATAACCTCTGTAAAATCAGGATGGTAAATACCTTATAAGGTAATCAGATTCAAAACATAGAGAATCCCTCTAGGCAAAACCTTAAGTTACAAAAGACACAAAAACAGGAATATACATTCCATCCAGCACAGCTTATTTTACCAGCCATTAAACAAAAGAAAATCTAACACATTTTCTAGCTAGATTATTTATAGATTACTTACTAACTGTACAGGAGTTGTAAGGCTGCATTCCTGATCTGTTCTGGCAAAAGCATCACACAGACAGACCAAACCCTTTGTTTCCCCCGCCTCCCTCCAGATTTGAAAGAATCTTGTCCCCTCATTGGCCATTTTGGGTCAGATGCCAGCAGGGTTACCTTAGCTTCTTAACCCTTTACAGGTGAAAGGGTTTTGCCTCTGGCCGGGAGGGATGTTATAGCACTGTATACAGAAAGGTGGTTACCCTTCCCTTTATATTTATGACAGGAGTGTCCAGCGTGTAACTATAGTTACCACAAGGATATTCTAAGTGCACAATACCACCGGGAACCGAAGGGAGGTATCCATGGGCAGTCTCTTTATTAAGGTTAGGGTTAGGGTTATGAAAACATCGTATAGCTTCTGTGCTGCCATCTAGAGGTCTGTCTGATAGGACCTAAAGTTGGGCCCTGTCACCAGGTCACCACCCTGTGCATATCCTCATGGCAGGACACAGTGCTGCAGTTTCCAAGACAGAGTTTGCAGCCTCCCTTTAGCGGTTTATGGCTCAGCCCTCTGGCCAGGCCTTTGTGAAAGTTCAATGCCGTCCCCTCCTCAGGGTAGCAGAGTCCAAAGGCACAGTGAGTCCCAAAACAAACACAAAATAAAGGAGTCTTTGGCCCCACTGGGCTTAGTTCTCTGCCCCTCTGATGTTATTCATGCAGCTGCGCTCCCTCTGAGCTCAGCTCTCCGACCCCAGCCTTCTCCCCAGCTGGGACATTCCATACCTTGGCCTGTGTTACCACCATCAGCAGGTCCCTAATAAACCCAAAGAGTCTAGTGTCAGCCCAGCCTTCTCACCAAGGAAGCTCTGACCAGCCACAGTCCTACTCAGCTCAGATCAAGCCAGCTTCTCTCCCCAAGCACAAGCCGCTGGTCTGTTTTCCTTCCCAACCAGCTAGGACTGAGCCACGCTCTCCCGCTTTTTACAGGCCTGACTCCATTACAGGTGTGGCAGGCAAGGCTGATTATGCTCACCACTGTTCATTATCTCTTTCCAGCCCATGTGGGGTTTGTTTACTCACCACAGACCCTGTGTTGTTTTTTGGGTCTGTTTAAAGAGTCTATATATCGTTCTTTAGTTTCGCCAACTCTGGTGCGGATCCATTCTCACAAACATAGACTTGACTGTTTGGGCTAAATGGAGTCACACTGGTATAAATGATGCTGATGGTATTTACTTAGTATGCTATTTGCTGCATGAGTCAGGAGTCTGTGCTGATGCCAGAACACTGCTATGAGGAGTTATATCCAAACCTGCAGCTGCTTTGCTTTCTCAACTATGAGACCTTTGCCCCAGCTTGGTTTGGAAATTACAAAAGGTAACACATCCCAATGGTTAAAGCTCTCAAATGAAGAAACTATGAAAGTTAGCCACACATTTCTAAAGCAGCAGAAGGGTTCCATCCTGAAGATTTGGGTCTAAAAATGGGTAAAGGTCCAGTGTGGTTCTCTCTTATCCAAACCATTCTGCCTACTGGTTCTGATTGGCAGTGAGCATTGTGATCACAGCCTCTCTTTTTAAACTACTTTTTAGTGACTACCCTTTGGGTTAGCCTCAAAATTCCTCCTTGTTGCTTGCTAGGTCTTACACAGACTTGGTCCAGAATGCTCGCTATGTAACCACATGTGTCCAGTCATTCTCCCCAGTCTGTTAATTAGGTTATTTCAGGAGTCTTTTTTGAGTGAACACGACAGGCTAGGGGGCATTTTCCGTGCGTTTTTCCTCTTTCTGAAGTTGATTACCTATGGAGTAAGACAAGCTGATTCACTGTCTGCCTTACAGATTTCATTTAAGCAATAACTTTTCGAGACTGTTTTTAAAGGTTGGAGCAAAGCTTGAATGTTTGTCGGTTGTATCAGATTATATCTAGTGATCTGATTATATCTCAACTGCATAGATCTATACATATAGATGTATATGTACATAGATATGTGGCAATATATGCACATAAACCTTGTAGACATGCATATATGGACACATTGCTGTAGTCTGTATGTAAATATATACAACAGACGTTTTCTAACTATAACCTGGAGGAAGAAATGAAAACATAGTGACTTGAATTTATCCCAAAGTAGGTCAAACATTTAATTACCATTGATGCTTTAAAAAGGAAATCGCTGCCCAGTTTCCCCTCTCAGTATGCGTAATATCTGTTGCCATTAAAGGCCTGATCCTGTATTCAGTGCATATCCACAGCTCTCTGTGAAGAGGAATTTAAGGTGCACAAGGAACGGACGATGAGACTATAGAGGGAGTTAGGCATGTCCTACCAGCGGGGAGTGTCTTAGTCAGTCGAAGCTGTGTGTCTAACTTCCCATGAAATGCTTCATTAAGACATCTTTACACCTCAGTAGCAATCCCTCCTTTTTTACAATAATTACCTTTATTCCACTTTACTCGGTAAAAATGCTTTTTGGCTAAAGAGGCATGTGTAGGCCTGTGGATGGGGCATTCAATTGGTCTGTGGCCTTGTGCATGTCAAATCCCCTTTTTGTAACTCTGTTTCCCTTCCTGCCCCTGAGTGCAGACAATGTCTCTTGCTATGCATTTGCACAGCCCCTAGTACAGTGGGGTCCTAATCTCACTTGAGTGTCTAGATGCTACTGCCATGTGCATAAAGAATAGTTTTAGCACTCTTTTTGGCCTGGCTTTGCAAGGTGATGAACATCTCCTGAGAAGTAGCGAGTACTCAACTCTTACTGAAGTTGATGGGAATTGAGGGTGATCAGTGCCACATAGGAAGTTTTCATCATCTTGAATGATTGGGCCTCTAGTTTATTTTCATGCCTGGACAAATATTTGATCAGAGGATCCTTGTTGGAATTATTCTTCCACTCTACCTTGATCTTCTGGCAGAGGAAGGAAACATTTGCTTTCTCTAAACACCTTGTGGATTTGGGGTTTTTCTGCATTTCCTATTTAGAATCCAAAGTTTCTCCTCAACCAGTAAAAAATGACTGATACTTAGCTCACTGAATCTCCTAACAGATGCATCTGAGGCTCAGGTGTGAGTGACAAAAATGATGCCAAACGCTATGTGGTACCTACAGGTTGTCAAGCAGGAATTTCTGTCCTGTCTAATCCCATGGGACAAGTATGTTATGTCTGGTACTGTCTGTTACAATATTTTGAACAGATAAGATAATAACTGGCAGTGCACAGATGTGTGATCATTCACCCCAGCCATGACTGCCGTGAAACAGGAAATTCTAATACCAAGCCCTGGTAACAGAGGTTATAAACACAGATTCAAATCCAGCGCACAGGTGTTTCTGCTCACTGTGTGGGCATGTCGAAAGTGAGGCCAACGCCTCTGTGACTTTAGACATAGTATAGCACATCTTGGTGCTTGAGATCACTAAAGGTATTCATCAGTGCTCTATGGAACTGCATGTGCTCTGCACCTTCCTAAGGAAATACACACACACCTCTGTTATATTCTGGTTCTGCAGCAAAGTTCTCTTCCTCATGATCACTATAGCCCACGGAGGTCCCCTTCAGGCCACTTTAACTTGGGATGTGGATGCTTTGCATACTTTTCTGTTTTGTTGTTGTTGTTTGGGTTTTTTTACTGATTGGACAATATACAGCTAATCAAAGGCTTTATCAACCTTTAAACCATATGCAAAGCTTCCCCCCGGGAAGTGGAGCACTAGATAACTCTAACTTGTAAAGTCATTTTTTTTTTTTTTTTTTTTTTTTTAGCATTTGTCAAATGAATCTCTCCTTTCTTCTGCCCTTTCTGGCTACTCCCAGCATGGTAGGGTTGGGGTTTTTTTTTGTTTCACCCCCTCCCGTCTTAGGATGACAGACACCACATCTGTACAACAACCACCAGACCCACAGGCGGATGTGAAAGATCCAGATGTGTAGGGCAGAGGGAAAGTGCCCCACCCAGATGTGAGCGCACGGGGGAGAAAGCCAGATGTGGGGACCGGAGCGCAAGTGCCCCATCCAGGTGCGAGCGCCCCCGGCTCTGGGATCACCCCGCCGCCCGCCCGCGGCAGCCCTGCGCCCTGCATCCCTCCCTCCCCCGCGCAGCGCAGGGCGCACGGCGCAGGGCACTCACCAGCGGGAGAAGCGCCCAGGAGAGACACAGCATCTTCAGCAGCCGCTGGCGCGTCCTCTGAGCTCTGGCTGCCGGAGCCGGGGCTCAGCTCAGCCCTTCCCCACCTCCCAAGTCCCGCCCCTGCCTCCTCCGGATCACGCTGCAGCTCCCTCCCCAAGGGTCCTTCCCCAGCTCCCCTGTTCCTGGGGCTCCAGGCGAGTCCCGCTCCAAATCCTCCCAGCCTCCCCAGAGCTCCAGTCTCTCCTTACCTTGAGGCTGGGGGGGGGGGGGGGGGGCTGGGTCCACCTGGATCCTGCCGAGGTTTGACACCCCCCCCCCCGGAGTCCCCGACTCAAAAGCAAGGAACTGCTCCTTCTGCCCCCCAGAAAGCACCCCCCCCCGCCACTTCAAGGCGCTGCAAAAACCTGGACCCGGACTCCCCCTGCCCCAGAGGTGTTGGGCTGGGCACACACAGCAGTGCTTGCTCTCCGTTCTGATGGCCTCTTGGCTGGGTTCGTGGCCCAATTTTGCAGGGCCTGGCAGGAGCCAGCTGCCAGATCCCAGCTATGGTGGCGCTGAGGGCGCCATTGGGTCTGGAGCTCTCGGGGGGGGGGGGGCAGCTGGAGTTGCTGAGCTTGTTCCCTGTGTAGGCAGTGAAATGTGGGAGATTAGGGCTAACACCCAGCAGGATCCCAGGGCTGGATCCATCCAGGGATCTGTGAGGCTTATTCCTGATGCCTGGAATATCCCAGAGCAATGGGAATCGTGATCCTTGTTTTCTATTTAGCCAGTGAGGTTTGGAGGAGAGGGGCAAAAGACTGGCAGGACCCTGCGGTGTGCAGGGGCCAGAACTGGGTTTTTCCCCTACGGTTCTGCCAGGATCTGGAGTGTCTGGAACAGAAAGCGGAACTAGAGTTTCTCCTTTGATGGGACAGTTTAGGGGCTTGGGTAGAACATATGGCAGGATCCAAGCAGATCCAGCTTTAACCCAAACCCCCTGAATCTCTACATCCTCCTCCACCCTTCCTAGTCCAACTCCTCCAAAGTCTCCCTCTCCCTCAGATCTCCTTGAGCCCACAAATTCTCACATCCTGTTAATTTTCCTGGGGCCTATGACCTCCTGCTCTTCTCAATACCTCCCTAAGCCCCAACGTCTCCCAGAGAAACTCATCCAGCTGCCAAATTCTCCTCTCCCCACAACATGCCAGACTCTCCTTTCCTCCACCTGCAGGATCCTAAGCTCCCAAAACTTCCCTCCTCTGAGGACTCATCCTTCATAAGATCCACCCCTCCCCCAAGCCTACAGTGGAATCGCTATGGATGTAGCTCAGCACATAAGCACACTGAGCCATGCTGTATGGGGCCCTTTAAGATAAAATTGACTTCGGTGCTGATTTGCATGTCCTTAATTATTCATCCTCATCCACAGAGTTATGGGCGAGTGCAGAATTCAACATCAAAGTGAATAAGCTGATGCTGAAATGCTGCCCTTCTCTGTTGTTGAAATTGAGGCTGCGGGGGGGGGGGGGGGGGGGGGAGGTGTTTGCCTCTTTGCTCCATGTACCAGAAGGTCATTAAGTAATAGAGCTTCAGGCCAGATTCTCTCCCACCATACCAAAAAATGTATGGGGGGGGGGGGGGCAGGGCAGGGAGCTACCTGACAACAGAAGCACAAACTGCACCCTATCCTCCCTTCCAAACCAGGGGAGTTTGCATTCGGCTTAGTGAGCACAGGGGAGTCAGGCAGTGGGTGTGCTTTATGTTAGGCCATCTCCATGCACTAAATCAAGAAGGAGTCCCAGGAAGGGGGCAAAAGTACAAGAGACAGGGGAAGAAAAAAAAGAGAGGAAGGGAGGAACCTGGCTGTATGTGGAGCAACCCCTGGGATCCAGCGTTAGTCAAGCAGCTCCATCTGCCCATCCAGAGCGACTACTGCTCACCAGGGTATGAGGTCCCACAGTCTGGCCAACACTCAGTCAACGGGCAGAGTCAGAGCCTCACCCTCCTCAAGGATAATGAGCTCGGCCAAAAAAAGCAAGAGATGTTCTCAAGTCAGGGTTTGGAGTCTGATTTCTGAACTCCCCCTGCTCGCCCCCGCAGTGCATGTGACAGTTACTCTGCTGCCAGCTCTCACAGACATAAGGCCAGCCAGGTGACACTGGCCCCTGCTGCAGGAGCACTTTCTAAAGGATCCAACCGCCGTCAGGTTTCCCTTGTGCTGGCCACTGTACAAACATGGAGTAAGAGACAGTCCCTGTGTGAACTCATCTCAGTAGGGACCACCAAACATCCACTATATGGACACAGTTTCTAATCCCTTTTGAGCTGGGCAGGATTGGACCTGGAAGGCTCTCTAGCTAATTAGCAATGCCTCAAGGCATCAAACTTCCACCACTTCTAAGTGTAATAGTACACCTTTAAGAAAGAGGCTGCTTAATGGAAATATAAATGTATCAGATCAAGGGCTGATCCTTTGGGAGCCTGCACAAGCAGGGTCTTCCACCTTCTAGACACACAGAGGCGTAGTCTCCCGAACACCACACTCAGCCTCAAAACACAAGCTACAGTAAAGTGTCCCACCCATTAATCAACCCATTTATCAAAAATAAACACTAAAATGCAACGAAGCTAATATTAACATCACATCCAAATTCTCTTCTGAATACTGTGTTTTGCAACAGAAATTCACTCCAATAGCTCCCCTTATTCCAGGGTCTTCAATTCAGTCCAACAAGCTTTTATTGGCACAACAAGTGATGCTAACTTTTGCCATGTCTACATTACTGCCCCTCTGCCAAATGTTAGCAGATTTTGCAAGCCTTGCCCGTCACTTTTTTATTTGGAGAGAAAATGGGTGAGGCGAAGTCAGGGACTGCGTAACTTGTTTAGTCACAAAATGTGCACAAGCCCTTCTTCCTGGCAGAGAGCTGGTAACAAACAGCACTCAGGTAACTCCCTCTCCCTTGTAGAAAGCCCCACTAAGTCACCACAGCCCTTTTCCCAGGAGCAACTCATTTGCCTCTGTCTTTCTCCATCATCTCACATTAGACTCGCCCCCAAACTCATTGCTTAACACACAGGCCTTGTTCCATCTGGGAAAACCCTTCTAGCTGAAAACGCCTCATCTAAGCCCACTACGTGACCTGGGGGATGCTCCTCTTTTTGTGCAGTGTCATTTGCAATGGAAAAGAAGCTCAGAAAGGGCTAGAGGATACCCTTAATGACTCGCTGGGTGTAGTTCCTGCATGTCACCTTTAACGCTTCCCATGGGGAGTTTCATGCGAGATGGCATCAGGATTCCTGGGTTCTCTTCCTGGCTCTGGGAGCAGTACTCTAGTAATTACCGACAAAACGTAATACCGCCTTTGTTCTGGTCATCGTTCTGCAGGAACAGAGCCTGTGACTTCTGTGTGTAAATGTACAGCCTTCTTCCCTTTGAGCTCAAGAACCAGCTCTCTTAGTAGAGAGCCATTATCAGAGTCATAGTAAACCTCCACCTATGGTCTAGCCCAGGGGTGGCCAACCTCTGGCTCCAGAGCCACAGGCGGCTCTTCAGAAGTTAACATGCGGCTCCTTGTCTAGGTACCGACTCCGGGGCTGGAGCTAGAGGTGCTAACTTTCCAATGTGCCGGGGGGGGGCTCCCTGCTCAACCCCTGGCTCTGCCGCAGGCCTTGACCCCACTCCACTCCACCCCCTCCCCTGAGCCTGCCATGCCCTCACTCCTCCCCCTCCCCACCCCTAGCCTCCTGCATGCCACGAAACAGCTGATCGGAAGGTGTGGGGAGGGAGCGGGAGGCGCTGATTGACAGGGCTGCCAGTGGGCAGGAAGTGCTGGGAGCCGGGGGAAGCCGGGGGGGGGGGGAGGGGAGCTGATGGGGGCCTGCTGACATATTATTGTGGCTCTATGGCAATGTACATGAGTAAATTCTGGCTCCTTCTCAGGCTCAGGTTGGCCACGACTTGTCTAGCCCGTAAAAAATGGCAGGGAGCCACACTGTTTTTGTGTGGGTTACACAAATACATAACTTCACACATCCTTCCTGAAAGGTAGCAGAGCAAAATGGCTGCGACTCAGCTCTGTTCTGTTAGAAACCTGTGGTCTATCCCCAGCTCGACCTGAAGTGACTTTATGCAAACTCTCTATCATCATACCTGTAAAACTGGTGAGTGAAAGTTACTTCCTACTGAGGTCTTGGTTAATCAGAAAGGTTGTGAAGTACACAGCAAGAAACATGAATAGCAGCGTAAGCCAGCTGTATGGCTGCTTTGCATCAGCACAGCATAGCAGTGAATCTGGCCATTGTGCTAGGTGCTGTAGAAACACACAGAGACAGTCCCTGCCCCAAAGAGCTTACAGTCTAAATGGGAAAAATAGACAAAAAGTATCAGAATGTCATTATCCCCATTGTACAGAGGGGGAAGTGAGACTCAAGAGACTAAACAACCTGCCTCAGGTCACACAGGAAGGCTGTGGCAGCCCTCTTGTGTCCTGGTCCCGTACTTGGACCATACCATCTGCCTTCCTCCCTGGGACCTTTTGTCCTTCTTCCAGCCCTTTCTATTTTTCGCTAGGTGCCCAAAATACATCCACAAATCAACAAAGGTGGGGAACTAAGCATATGGTTAATACCTGCCCTTAGTGATTGTGCTAGCTACTGTTAAAAATACATAGTTCTGCCTTTGATACTTACTGTAACGAAGCAATCCCTTCTGCAGCAATTACAGAACAACACATTTGAGATAAGGACTGACTCAATTTTCCTATGGCTTTATAGTCCTCCCACCCCGCTGCAAGCTTACACAGAAGTGGGGAGAAATGTCTTATTAGTGCAAGCAAGTGACCCATCTGAACGTGTGAATCTCAGTTAATGCCGATGTCTTGGAGCTGTTGCTAATACATACCCCAGAAGTTCTGAGTGTATCAGTGCTGATTTAATGAAAATGTCTTGACATTTACACAGCTCCCCTGAATGTTAATAAGAGCTGAGCTGCTTTCTTTGAAATGATCTGGAACTCATTCTATTTTAATTTGACTCTTCCATAACAAAAATCCTCAGAAATCTAACTGTGTTTCCCTTCAAGCACTTTACAGAGCATCAAAAGGAGAAGCATGACACTCTGTAATGGT